ACAAGGAAACAGAATTGGTTCTTTACTATTTTCTGCTACCAATTTAAAAGGCTGACTCCTAATCTTTTATTTGCTGAACATACGAATGAGTGTAAAGATGCAAATTAGAGGCCAAGAGGATGAAATTATTCTGCATATGAAAAGTAATGGAGAAGGGGAAAGAGGCTGGAGGCTGCTTGGGTAGAGAGAAAGACTTGAGAAAAACGCTTGTGTGCTGGTTGTTGGGAGACTTCGAAGAGTGTTAAAGAGGAAAAGGAGACAATCGTCCCAGGGAGGAAAGAACAGGGATAAAAGTTTATGAAGGTTTGCCACATGGCAAGTGATGTCAGCCATGTTTGGCGTCATAGTAGGTTTGATATGTCAGTCATTCTTCTGTACTACTAGCGATAGACTACACTTTGAGAAAGACTGCCCAAGTTAATTTAAAAATGATTGTCTTTCAGAGTATGGAAGAAACCAGAGGTGAAGGGCAGGTTAAAATAGTTCAAGACTTGTGGTTGAGGCTGCCACTGATGTTGCTTCTCTGAGTTAAGATGTTTAATTGACTCTTTCATTTCAAATGCCCATTGTAATGACCAAAAGATCTATAAAAGGTGAAAACCTGGAGAACCATCTATATGCCAGAAACTTGGAGGGTTCTGTAAAAGATAAAAACATGACAGAGAGAAATCACAGCAACTTGCATTTCATGTCGAGCCAAGGGCAAGCCTGTGCGGCAGGGGCTGGAGGCTGGGGCACTCTGAGTTGGGGACTCTAAGTTGGGGGATCAATATTCTGGAGGAACTCCAGAGAGCACATAACTTGCTGAATGTAACTTAGAATGGAGACTCAGGCCTCAGAGTGCTACTGTCAGCCAGCACTTCAGGTGGTGTGCTGAATCAAATGGCAACAGGACGGCAAATCGAGGAACGGGGCGCTGAGCAAACAAACAGCAATACAGAACAAAGGTTTTGTCAAGTTCTCTTCCGTCTGTAGCTCCCTTCTCATGTTATGTAGGATGGGGTCTCTGATCTGGCAAAGTGTGCCTGACAACGTTAATCTCATTTATTGTCATCGTGCTGGAGTCACTCTCCCAGGTCCTTTGTGCAGCCAGCTACTTATAGTTCCTTTTTTATTCTGCTTAAATATCATCTCCTCACAGAGACCAGCTCCCATTTAAAGTAGCCCCCCTACCTTATTCTGTATCAATATCCATTTTCTTCATAGCACTCAGTACAATTTGTAATTATTTAATTTGTTAGTTGACTTCTTTTTTGTCTGTCTTCTCCACGGCCTTCTAAGCTCCATGAGGGCAGGAATCTTGTCTGACTCTCTCACTGATATATCCTCAAAACATAGACTATAGTAGGTGTTATTAATGAGTAAGCATTAGTAGAAAACAAGCAGGAAAAATGGGTTATTTTTAATATTGTCAAGATGTAATATACAGTGAAGATAAAATTGTCATGATTGAATATATGAAACAAATAGTTTTAGAAATTTAAGTAGAAATTCTCAAAACCACAACCATGGTGAGATACTTTAATATTTATCTTTTAATCCTTGACAAGAAAAAAAAGATACAGAGAATTTGCATAATATTATTTAGCTTGATTTAACATTTATAATAGAGTTCAATGTGAGAGTACACATTCAAATATATGTGTATGGAAGTTGATTTCATTAAAATGAGAAAGAAGATGTTACTATTGATATAAAGGAGATGTAAACATTACAAGTGAATAGTCTTATGATTCCATGCTAATAATTGCTTTGCAAGTAGATGATTTCCTAGCAAAATAAAAATAACAAAATTAACTGTGACGATGAGGAAGTAAAAGATAAAGAACTACCCCTCTCCAAAAAATAAAGACTCAGACTTTTTATGGATGAGTTTTCCCAAATCTTTAATGGATTAAATAATTCCCGTATTGTTTCATCTGTTTTAGTCTAGAGAGAAATGACAGGAAGCTTCCTAGGTTATTTTATGAAGCAGGTATAACCCTCATGCCAAAATTTACAGATGTAGCACACAAAGAAAACTGCAGACACACTTCATTTAGGAATGTTGAATCATGAATCCTATATAAAGCATTAGCACTTATGGATTTTGCTCAGGAATGCAAGGATATTTTAATATTGGCAAATATATTAATATTTAATAATTAATAGGCAGAGGGAAATATCATCATGGCAGTAAATATTAAAAGGATTTTATAGACTCCCACTTCTATCCCTGATTAAAAATGAAACAAACAACAACAGAAAATTTGTAGTGAACTACAACTAGAGGAATACATCCTTAATTCAATAAAGGGTATCTATCTTACACCATCAGTCAACATGATACTTAATTATGAAATACTACCACATTCCCATTAAAGTCAGGAAACACTCAAGAATGCCCATTGTTATAGTTGTCATCAACATAGTTTAAACATTTCTAGGCAATGCAATGAGAGAAGAAAAATAATTCAGCTGTTAATATTGTAAAGGAGACAAAATCATCTATATTTAGTGATGATATGATTGTCTATCTGGAATGAAATTGAAGAACAATGAGAACTAATGAGAGTTAACTAAGGTAGTAAGAAAATACATGTATAAAAATCAATAGAGCCAGGCACAGTGGCTCACACCTGTAATCCCAACAAAAGTGTTGGGCAGAGGCCGAGGTGGGCAGAACACCTGAGGTCATGAGTTTGAGACCAGCCTGGTCAACATGGTGAAACCCTGTCTCTACTAAAAATACAAAAATTGGCCAGGCATGGTGGCAGGCACCTGTAATCCCAGTTACTCTGGAGGCTGAGGCAGGAGAATCGCTTTAACCCGGGAGGCAGAGGTTGCAGTGAGCCGAGATGGCGCCATTGCACTCCAACCTGGGGGACAAGAGCGAGACTTCATCTCAAAAAAAAAAAAAATCAATAGCTGTCTTACATACCATTAATCCATTACAAAATGTGGTGAAATGGATAATATTCACAAAACAATAAAATATCTATGATATGTGGGAATAAATGTAATAAGAAACATGCAGGACCTATCTGAATGCAATGATAAACCTTATTCAGGAACATAAAAAGATACTTGCGTGAATCGAGAAACAAAACTACTTAGGTGAAAAAATTCCTAGCACATAGGACACACAATAAATGATTTTTGGATGAATGATAAGTAAGTGAACATAATTACCATAAAAATCTTATGAGAATTTTTTTTGGCTCAACCAAATGATTTTAAGGTTCATCTAAAAAATTCTCGGAGCTGAGAATAAAACTTTGATAGCAGAGACAATGAAAGGACTACCAGATCAGTTATTAAAACATAATGAGATGAGATAGGCCAGGTGTGGTGGCTCACGGAGGCTGAGGCAGGTGGATCACCTGAGGTCAGGAGTTTGAGACCAGCCTGGGAAACATGGTGAAACCCCCATCCATACTGAAAATACAAAAAATAGCTGGGCGTGATGGCGCTTGCCTATAATCTTAGCTACTCGGGAGGCCGAGGTACAAGAATCGCTTGAACCAGGGAGGCAGAGGTTGCAGTGAGCTGAGATCATGCCATTGCACTCCAGCCTGGGCAATAGAGAGAGACTCCATCTCAGAAACAAAGATAGTAACATTAGTATTGGCACATGAATAGATAGATTGGTGGAACAGAATAGAAAGTCAAGTAGCAGATCTACGACTATATAAGGATTTAGAGTATGATGTTTTTGTAAGTATAATAGAAAAGGATGGATTTAATAAAGGGCCTTAGGACTGCTGGAAAAAATGTATCCCTACTCCATAACACACTCCAAAATATACTCCAGGTGAATTAAATATTTAAATATAAAAAGTGCAACCATGAAAATGTTAGAAGGATGTATTAGAGTATAGAATGCCTTTCTAGAGGTAAAAAGAATAAAGGAAGAGATTGATAGATTTCATTACATATAAAATTTTAAGCTTCTGAGCTTCACCGAACACCATAAAAAATGTAAGGATAACCAATTACATTGAACAAAATATTTGAAATATGTGGCAGATTAAGAGTTTTCTATTATGCAATACAATATGAAAGATGTAAGCTCACTGAGTATGAAAGTTGCAAATTATAACAAAAGATATTTTGTTTTATTTTGGCCATCAAATTGTCAAATAATAACAAAGAATGGAGAGGTGTCAGAAAACTGGCACTTGACTATATATTGGTAGAAGTATATTTTGGGGTAGCCATGCTGGAGGGTAATTTGGACATAATCAAGAACCATACCATAAGAATTTATCTTAAGTAATTTTTCATAAATATTTGCAAATATATAAAGCTTCAATCATAATCATTGCAAGCTAATGATAATGTAATGATAATCATTGCAGTATTCTTTATAACATCAATAAATTGTAAATAACCTAAATGTCTTCCTATAGAGAAATTGCTAACTCAACTATAAGAGAGTCATATAATGGGATTCCGTGACATTATTAAAGATAATTTTGGGAAATATTTAATGATATGGACGAATCTGTGTTATCCTCTTCTCTTGCATAGAAGGGAATTGTGTAAATAAGACTAAAAGCCAGTTCTTTAAAATAGTGAGAAAGAAGGATAAGGAAGGTTTTACTTTATCTAGGGCCTTGATTTTTATCAGTATATATGTAAGCTAACATATTTTCCAAGAGTTTCTATGATGGGATCTGCTTAGTTAGAATACATACTGTTTTCAGTTCATCAATTGATTAGGCCTCTTAATGTCAATGCCATTTGTCAGAGGCAAGTTTACTATTGTAAATCAGCTTACAGCGCAACAATAGGATGTGTCAGCCTATAGCTTAAGCATTTGTAAATTTAACACTTAAGAGTTTCACAACAAAATTGCATTCTGATTATTAATAATACCTAAACTGTTATAAGATGAAAGTATATCTATTAACTATCTGACTTTCTATAATTAATTTAAGCAAAAGTAATTATTATTAAAGGGTTATTGAAAGTGATGAATGCTTTATATGCTGAGATGAATCATTTTACTTCTTAAGAATTTCCAAGTGTGCCTCTAAATGGACATAGCCTGGAAAACAATGAAGATACTAATGGCCAATCTCTGGGAAAAGATTTTGCGTTGGAAGCTCTGCTGAATTTTTTCTTTCCGACAAGTAAGTTCTTGTTTGATTTTTCCCCCTTCTAATGTTCTTGTCTTGAAAACAGTAAATGTTTAGGAAGCACTGTGGCGTATTGGCATTGGAGTGGGACAGAGCTGAGTTTGAATCCTGGCTCTGCCCTTTGGCTTAGGCAAGGCAATCTCTCTGAACGTCTGTGCTCTCATCGTTGAAATGAAGAAATTTACCACAAAGAATTATGAGGATGAACTGAGATAGTATTCGTAAGGCATTTCATAAATGTTTGTTACTGTTTATAAAATACTTTTCCTTCACAAATATCTAAATCTTTCACAATTTACCTGAATGGCGTTACCTGAAATTTAGTCACTAACCCAGTATTATGAAATTGATGTCTTCTGTGGCATTAGTGAGGGTACTGTGTGACTGCTGTTATGGAATATGCCAGATGTTTTCCCATCTGTTTTAATGATAGAAAGCCCAGGTTTCAAGTCCCACCATCTTTTTGTAATTCTGTATATAATGTGTTTATCCAGTACATGATGACCCCTGAGAATTAATAACCACAGATAAACATGTTTCATTTTGTATAGCATGTGGTGCCCTTTCAAGGAGAAGCTTCATATAGATTGGCATATGTGAATTACAAAGAAAAAGCTCTTATGAAAAATCATGCAAAATTTATTCTAACAAAATTTTATATGCTCTATAAGCACAAAATTAGATCTATTCTTCAATTCCAGGCCTTACCACTGAATTCTTTAGTGACCTTGAATAAATCTCTTTGTTTCTTTATACTTGTTTCATTAAGTTTAAAAAAGGCATCTAGCAATGAGAATAGCAAAATAAACAAGTTCCTTAAATAACAAGTTCCTTAAAATACTGCCATAGTCAAATTGAGTATATAAAAAAGAAATCTGAAAAAGTGTTATGTTGTATAGGCTGAAAGAATGGTCTGAGTGTCAAAGTTAGTCATAATGATGATTTTGGCTTTAGAGCTTATGAAAATAACAGATGTAAATAGTCACATACCTACCCATAATGACTACATTGTACAGACACTGATACCACCTTTAAAACTGGTCCAGGTAAGATATCTCCATTTCCCAAATATTTCTTCAACCTGGTGCAATAAAGTAAATAAAAATTGATTATATGAAGTAACAGTTTTGTCCAACAAATAAAATTGTTGCATTTTAATAGAAACATCTGACCTAGGTTGATTGAAACAATGATTAAATATTTATAAAATATACATTCTGTTTTCTTTGGAGAGAATAATTACAGCTTCATAAAACATGAAATATTTTAACCAATTTATTTCTCCCTCACACAATTGAAAATAAACACTCTTACCACTTAAGCATGAAAAAAGTTCGTTATTTTGTCATTAGGCTATTATCTGTAAAATTTTTATCTCTTGCATATTAAAATGTTAACCTTGAGACGCACTGGCAGGGAAGCTTGAGAGATCACCTGATCTTTCTCCCTTTGGACAAAATTATATACTTAAGCCTGACCAAAAACAATTGTTCTACCCTTTTGATTCTTTAAAATTACCAACATCTCTTAATAATTTGAGCCTGAAAGTTAATTTTATTATCCAGCATAAAGTCCATCAGATGCACTTAAAGTATAAATTAACATGTTCTTAGAGATCATATAGTCTAGTCTCTTCTATGATTTAACCCTAACCCTAACCCTAACCCTCTGTTTAGCATTTCTGGAAAGTGGTGTTTGAACAGCACCCATGGTGAGAAACTCAGCATGCAAGGAAGTCCGTCCCATATCTGAGTAGTCCTGACTATTGTCACTGTTTTCTGGGTGTTTGACACCCAGAACTGAACACTAGATGCAATCCAACCTAGGGGAGAAGAGTCACTTGGGACCTAGAATTGAAGAGCAGATTTCTTAGAATATATAACAATAAGTAGGATAAACTCTCATGTCTAAAATGTTTGGAAAATGAGTATCTGGGTCCCTTGGTAGTGTATTAAATTGTGATCTTACATAAGTTTCTTTGATCCTTTATTTTCTTTTAAAACAGAGGTTATAAAACTCAGTTTGGGAGTTTGTTGCTAAGATTAATGTGTAAAGCAATGTTCCTGGCCCAATAGGTGCCTAAAGAATGGTAGACATTATTACTTTTACCTTGGCTTCAGGAATTGCCAATCTTTCAAAAAGAGGAATGTAATAAAATATAGTAAGAGGTTAAAATTTGCCTAAAACAATTATATTGTTCTTTGCTGATGTTGAAGTGCTTTAGAGTGATTATAAAACATCAGTTACTATTTTTAAGTTTGTAATTGTTGATAGGATAAGAGATTGAACAGAATCTATTCTGGCCTTAACACATTGACATACTGTGGAGGTTTTGGTTTTTGAATAAAAATCTGATATCATGCTTTTTAGTTTTTTGTTTCTCTTATAAAGAAGAATATTTTAGAAAATAAGCTATTTGAGCTTGCAAGTTTTTTAGATTCAGGTATGTACAAATTTGTTAAGTTGCATGAATCTTGGTGTTCATGCCATAAATCATTGCCTATTCAAAATTATAGAGTCATAATTTAAGGCTGAAACAAAGAATCTTAAAACATATTGTAGTGCCAATATGATAAGTGTTCATAGAAAGTAGGTCAATACCAGTGGATCACTTACTTTAGTCACTAGCAGCAAACTATTTAATTTAAATAAACATCACAATGGCATAAGTTCACATTTGGATTTCCCAGCTTAATACTTAATTTGGCATTTGGGCAAGATTCTAGAGTACCAAGAATAAATCACTGATCAAATGGGATGATAGCAACAAAGATGAAGATATCCTAGAAGATGGGATTGATTTTCTACAAAGGAAAGCAATAGTATCACTACTTCTTTGTTAGTAAGAATAAGACAACTACAGTATGTACAAAGGAACAAATAATTTTTATTGTTCCTATAGAAAATTTAGAAAATGTTCAAAAATTATAAAATAAATTATTCATAGGCGCACCACTCAAAAAAAAAAAAAAAAGGGATTTCCAGGCCTAGATCAATGCTCCTTACAAAGTCCTGAGGTGGTCAGGACTCTATTCAGTAGCAGTTTCTGCTTACATGATGACTTGGGTAATTCACAATTAGTCTCACCTTTTATTTTGCTTTAGTCACTCTCTGTGTTTTATCCTAAAGGTTTTAGGCTCTATGGTATGCCCAATGGCTGAGAGAAGATACCAGTTGTTCATGCCTTAGCTTACTTTTCCTTGCCCAGCTTTTCTTCCTGGGTAGAATTTTTCCCATTTGTCTTGTCTTTGACATCTCAGTATGCAGTAGACTTCAATATTTCTTGTTAAGGCCTGCTTATTAGTTTTTCTTTGTTTTATTGGGTAATTTTTGAGGTAGTGTCTCTCTCACTCTGTCACCCAAGCTGGAGTGCAATGGTGATGTGATCACAGCTCACTGCAACCTTGACCTCCAGGGCTCACGATCCCTGAGTAGTTGGGACTACAGTTGTGCACCAGCATGCCTGACTAATTTTTAAATTTTTTACAGAGACAGGGTTTCCCTAGGCTTCCCAGGGTGGTCTCAAACTCTTGGGCTCCAGAAAGTCTCCTGCCTCGGCCTCCCAAAGTGTTGGAATTTATAGGTGTGAGCCACCACACCAAGTCTTGTTCTATAGTTTTTAAATTAGGTTCTGAATACTTTTTTCTTTACAAAGTTTTGAGAACTGAACCATCTGTTGTTGCTATCTTCATTTGGATAGTGGGGATGTATTTCCAGTTGCTCTTATGCTACATGGATTTAATATGATGAAACACTAACAAATGCTACAAAAAGGATGCATGCAAAATAATATCTTAAGTAAATATAGTCCCTATTCAATTTGCAGCTTTTTGTTGAACATGTAGTATTAATACTGAAAACTAAAACCTGATCATGAATATAATTTTGCAATTTTAACACTGTCACATGTTGTTTATAATTCATTTATCAGTTTGGTCTTCATATTATGTATGAAGCAACATTTGGTTCTTGAAGAGGAAAAAATTTAACCGTGACTTACAATTCCCCAATCACATTAGAATGCATTTTGCAATGAATGTAACACTAAAATATGCTTATTTCACCTGTGAATTCTTGATTTCTTGTTTAATGTTTTGTAATTTGGAAGTAAACCTGCAGCACCTGGTATTCCCAGGCAGTCTCCCATCCAAGTGCTAAGAAGCTATTCATTTACCAAGAAGCTATTTATTTACCAAGTTAACAGTTCGCAGATTAATGTGCTCCCCAAGTGCTCTAGGATGTACAACATATGGCCAAGGGAAAAAGCCTATTTAGGGCCAGAGGAAGAAATATATAGTATGCATCTTAATAATCAATGATTGTACAAAAAGAGTGGGATCATTTTGTTAAGACTTCATTAAGGGATACATATTGAAAGTGTAGCCTTCAGTTGTATTTCAAGAACATTTCATGAACTCCTGTTCATTATAAAGTAGCAAGGATATTCACCTGTCATATAAGAATACCTCCTCATTTTACTTTGTTAACTGATAGGTTTTTTTAAATAAAGAATTTATGAAAGAGCTTGGATTTACTTCTCTTGCTTAAGTCATTAAAGTAACAGGATGTAATTAAACCAACAGAGCCTAAACAGATGATGCGAATGTCTTGGGTTGGTGCAATCTGCCTCATGATCCTGGGATATCTGCTCTTTTACTGCTGCTCTCTTTGCTGGAGGAGGTAGGCAAACATAACTTTTTATGAGTATTTGTATATAGACATATTTATTAATATACTTCAGAAAGATAGGGATTATGTTTGGGTTCTTTATGTTGAAACTATGGCAGCTTGGGAAAAATCTAAAACTAGAGTTGCCATAATATGTTTTTAAAATGCATGTTATCGGCTGGGTGCAGTGGCTCATGCATGTAGTCCTAGCACATTGGGAGGCCGAGGAGGAGAGATCACTTGAGGTCAGGAGTTCAAGACCATCCTGGCCAACATGGTGAAACCCCATCTCTACTAAAATACAAAAAAAAAAAAAAATTAGCTGGGCATGGTGGTGTGTGCCTGTAGTCCCAGCTTCTTGGGAGGCTGAGGTGGGAGATTTGCTTGAACCCAGGAGCCGGAGGCTGCAGTGAGCTGAGATTGCACCACTGCACTCCAGCCTGGAGCCTGTCGACAGAGCAAGACTCTGTCTCAAAGAAAAAAAAAATTAGCCAGGTATGGTGGCGCACACTTGTAATCCCAGCTACTTGGGAGACTTACGCAGAAGAATTGCTTGAACCTGAGAGGCAGAGATTGCAGTGAGCCAAGATCGTGCCATTACACTCCAGCCTCAGCAATAAGAGCAAAACTCTGTCTCAAAAATAAAAGATAATAAAAAAATGCATGTTATTTTATTTTTCATAGATTTTCTTCTTGCATAGTATCTATACATTCCCTCATCAAACAAACCCACAATTTGAAGAAAAAATAAATTTGCAAGCATGGTGTGTGTGCAGTGGGGGGTGGCTGTTAACTGCAAATCAGAACAGTTCCTAGAAGTGTTAGTTTCCATTGAGTTATCTGCCATTGTTCTTTAATGATCATCTACCATTGGGTCATAAAGCCATGGTCTGTCTTCAAGCCAGTTGGTAAACTGATTTCTTCTTAGCATCTTATACAAAATACCAATGGACTACTAGCATGATGCTTCCAAGTTTTTTTTTTAATAGCTCCCCACCTATGGGGACAGAGTGTGTACAGAGATACAGAGCACAGTCAGGACTAGAGTGAGGTGAGTGAAGCACTTGGAGCACAAAGTTGAGGGAAGCACTCACTCTCAGGTTTGTGCAGGTGCAAAGTCACTACTCTGAGAATAAGTGCCTCCTTAAATTCTCTGATAAAGATAAGGTGCCTGTTAAAGGTTAAGAATCTTAGATGTTTTTATTGAAGTTAATGGGGCAGTAGTAGTTCAGTTACCAGAATATGGTTTAGATTTCACAGGAAAAGTTAGACTATATACACTACCTTACTCTTGATAAAGATCATCAAAGTGATTGGCAGTAGGAGTGGAATTTTTGACCCTTCCTTCCTCTCTTCAAAGGTTGATTTTGTATTAAAAAAAACCCATGATTAACAATGAGGTAACATTTGCTAGAAATTGGTGGCTAGGAATATACCATGCAATTTAGAGACTTTCTAGGATACTAAGTTTGATATGATCACTTCATTACGGTGTTAAAATGCCTCTGCAAAGGTATTTTATGCGGTGTTCAGGTCCCCTGGATTTTTTGTTCTCTAAAATGATATCCAAAGTATTATTCTCTGATACTAATATATTTCCTTCTTTCTGCATAATACAAATTGCTTGAGTAACTTGAACAATGTGAATTAGTGTATATATTGGATACTATACATTTTGGTTTACTATGTTTTATTTATTTGTTTTACTATTTTGTGCAAGAGCAGTATGCTCCTTCTGTCATCTTGAGCTGACTATCATGACCCTTGGAGCAGGTAGCAGATTCATCTTGCTGCTTAGATGAATTTCCAGGAACAATGATTGAGAGCAGATGAGTGCTTTCAGCCTATTGTGATAGGCTGATTTTAGAGGCAAGGGAAATAATTGTTTAAGAATGGGGAAATCCCATTTCTGATATCAAACAAGGAGCTAAGTAGAGGACAACGTTTGCTTTTGCAGGGCAAGATATTTCCTTAGAAATATTTCCTTAACTCACTTTCTGTTCTCCATTTCAAAGAATAAAGAGATAGATAAAATATTAGAGTAGGTAAAATGACCCATAAAAAAGAAATAGACACAGAAGTAAAATCAATATATGGTGGCTTGAAAAGGAAAAGAAGCCAAACACAATCATTTGTCTGAATCAGAGGTACCAAAAACTAAATAACTATCTGCAGCATTGTGACTTGGGCCTCTTTTGGATGCTCTTTTTTGCTCTTTCATCATTGGGAGATATTCTTAAGCTCTTCCTCCTGCTGAGTCCTGTCTTACACATTAAATAACTGAGCATTCCTTTAAGAAAGAGCTGTTGTAGCTCTCCTCTTGGCCTTCAGTTGCAAGCCAAAGCAAATGATGTTTTGATATTCCTCATCCTCTGCAATTTGGATAGTGATTTTTTTTTTGTTTTGTTTTGGGTTTTTTTGTTTTTGTTTTTGTTTGTTTTAAGGATCACCTAAGGAGCTAACAACTGTCAAGAGTTGGAGAGATTAAAAAATCAGAAGCAATTTAAGCTGGAGGGAGAAGTAAAAACAGTGTAGGTAAAAAGGATAATTATGCACCAGAGCCGTAGGTACTTCAGTTCTTGGTGCCTAATTCATTTTTTCCACTATTGACCATATTCATTCAGTGTTCGCTTGTGCCAAGTATAACAGAAGATATAGACATTTTAAAGACACAGGCCCTACTTTTAAGGAGCTTAAATTCACCTTAAAACAAATCCGAGGTATGACACATTTAACTTACAATATAAGATGAAAACAATTAAGGACTAAAATGGATGGTGGCAATAACTTACAAAAGCCTTGAAGCAGTGGAGATCAGGTTAAGTCGGAGAGGGCAGGTCAGCCTTCATGGTAGAGGTGCCATTTGAGCTCGGTTTTGAAGGGAGACAGATTTGGAATAGATGGACAGGGTCCTTTTCACAGAATTAATTACATTCGGATGGTGGTCTTCTCACTATAGACCCCTTAATTTATTGTCATTTCTGAGGCGCTATGGCTGAACTTTGCCAGTGGAAGAATCTATAACTGAATCTCTAGTTTACTGCTACTTGACTTGAGTTCTAGTGTGATATGAACCCAGTACACAGAGCACTCAAACCGGCTTGAACTGGTTGCACATTCAAAAGGAAGCAGAGAGCATTAGTGAAAAACTTTCTAATAATTTTCTAATAGCCATATTAAACTAACATATAAGATGTGTTTTGAAATTTATTGCATCCTCAAGGTTATATAAGATCTATTTTTATCCTCATTAATAGGGATCAGAAGCTTCATTAGGTTTGAGTGTCACTAGTAGGCTTAAGCCTTTGCATAGAAGAGAAGGAAGGAAAAGATCAAGTGGATAGTGATAATAGGAAGCAGGAGAGAGGGGTTTTAAGGGGAGGACTTAAAAAAGGGAGGTAGCTGAATTGTTCTTATAACAGCTATTGCTATAGCTAGCGACAGTAGTCTCAAGTGCCAGATTCAGTTTCTAATCTTAATCTGTTTTTAGATAAAGTTTAAATCTGTGTGCATATGCCATTTAAACATCTGTGGATTATGTAATGATATGATACCTGAGTGTGTATGTCACTTTGATAAGGTGAAACATTTAAACGTTATAATACCATGCCTGTTAAACTCAGATGAAGTGTATTTTCGTGTTCCTTTTCTTCCTACCAGATTGAATTTGTAACTTTGAATTAAGACAGAATTCAAAACTCAGTTTGAAAATGTTAAAACTATGTTTTCTTTCAACTATTAAAATGTCTATTTTTTTAAAGATTATAGATCAGCTGATACACAGATGATGTAAAAAGCACATCCCCCATACATTTTCAATGTTGCTACTTGCCAGATGGCTGTTACTGAAAATTTCTACATTTAGACAAATCCTGCTGCATGATTCTCTGTATTATAATGTGATATTCATTATGCTGATAGTCTTAGTGCCACTTATTTTCTTACAATGGGAGGTAAAGAACTGGGAATAAATGTGTCAAAGACTGCCTAAAAATACATCACCCATTGAATTTTAAAAATGGACATTTACATTTTCAATTTCCAATATTTGCATGTCTCATTATACTGTACAACATAATTATGTTATTTTGCAAAAAATTAGTGAACTACTGGAAAGTTAGAAATTCCTAGGATTATATACATCTGGATTCAGAGGAAGGAAATAAAATCTACAAATTTTAAAAGTATGACTAGGCTTTAAGAACTTTGATAAAATATGTCAGATGAGAATGTGAGCAAACTGGAACTCTGTTCTTTTTTTTTTTTTTTTAATTTTTTATTGGATTATAGGTTTTGGGGTACATGAGCAGAGCATGCAAGACAGTTGCGTAGGTACACACATGGCAGTGTGCTTTGCTTTTCTTCTCCCCTTCACCCACATTTGGCATTTCTCCCCAGGCTATCCCTCCCCACCTCCCCCTCCCACTGGCCCTCCCCTTTTCCCCCCAATAGACCCCAGTGTTTAGTACTCCCCTTTCTGTGTCCATGTGTTCTCATTTTTCATCACCCACCTATGAGTGAGAATATGCAGTGTTTCATTTTCTGTTCTTGTGTCAGTTTGCTGAGGATGATGTTCTCCAGATTCATCCATGTCCCTACAAACGACACGAACTCATCATTTCTGATTGCTGCATAATATTCCATGGTGTATATGTGCCACATTTTTCCAATCCAGTCTATTATCAATGGGCATTTGGGTTGATTCCAGGTCTTTGCTATTGTAAACAGTGCTGCAATGAACATTCGTGTACATGTGTCCTTATAGTAGAACGATTTATAGTCTTTTGAATATATACCCAGTAATGGGATTACTGGGTCAAATGGAATTTCTATTTCTAAGGCCTTGAGGAATCACCACACTGTCTTCCACAATGGTTGAACTAATTTACACTCCCACCAACAGTGTAAAAGTGTTCCTTTTTCTCCACATCCTCTCCAGCATCTGTTGTCTCCAGATTTTTTAATGATCGCCATTCTAACTGGCGTGAGATGGTATCTCAATGTGGTTTTGA